ATGCTGAGAATGACAAATTGAAGGGAAACGATGTCATATTCACTGTCAAAAATAAAATTTCAAGATCTATCCTGAAGTATACACTGTCAGTAATAGGGTAATATCTTTATATCAACAAGGAAGACCAGTTTAATACGACTAGTATTCAAATTTACACACTAACCACTAATGCCAAAGAAGCAATTTAGGATTTTTTTTATCACCTTTTTCACTTTAAAAATTAATCAAACATGCAATCAAGATGCATTGATAATTGCTGGTGATTGAAATGCAAAAGTTGGAAATGAAGAAGGATTGTTAGTTGGAAACTAGGGCCTTGGTATAGAAATGATGCTAGAGATAGCATGATGGAATTTTGCATGGCAAATGACCTATTCATTGATACTACCTTTCTTCAGGAACATAATCCATGGCTGTAAACATAGACCTTGCTGATTGGAATGAGGAATCAAATGGACTACACCTGTGGAATGAGATGATGGTAAAGCTCAACATCATCTGTTAGAATTAAGTCAGAGGCTGACTGTTGAACAGACCGTCAATTGCTCGTATGCAAGTTCAAGTTCAAGCTGAAGAACATTAAAACAAGTCCATGAGAGTCTAAGTACGACCTTGAATTTAGAGACCATTTCAATTGATGCGTTGAATACTTGTGACTGAAGGCCAGAAGAGTTGTGGGATGACATCAAAGACATCATACATGGAGAAAGTAAAAAGGTCATTAAAAAGATAAAGAAAAGACCAAAGTGGATGTCAGAAAAGACTCTGACATCTTGTTCTTTATTATTATTATTTTTAAACTTGTTCTTGAATGTAGAGTAGCTAAAGTGAATGGAAGAACTGATGAGGCAAAAGAGTTGAACAGAAGATTTAAAAGGATGTCCTGAGAGGACAAAATATTATAATAAAATGCACCAAGAACTAGAATTAGAAGCCCAAAAGGAAAGACCACACCAAGCATTTCTCAAGCTGAAAGAACTGAAGACAAAATTCAAGCCTCAACTTGCAATATTTAAGGATTCTATGGGCAAAATGAGCTCTGGTGTGGTGCTGTGGGTTAATGCGCCAGACTGCAAAGTCACTTTGAACCTTAAGTTCGGCAGTTCAAGCTCATCATTCACTCCTTGGAAACCCTATACAGGGTCGCTATGGATCGGAACCAACTCGACGGCACTTCACAACAACAACAATTGGCAAAATATTGAACAAGACAGGAAGCATCAAAAGAAGATGAGAGAAATAAACAGATTCATTGTACCAAAAATTGGTCAGCATTCAGCCATTTCAAGAATATGATTAAGAACCAATTGTTCTGAAGGAAGAAGTCGAAACTGCTCTGAAGGCATTGGCATAAAAGAATGCTCCAGGAATTGATGGAATACCAATTGAGATGTTTTAACAAACGAATGCAATGCTGTAAACACTCATTAGTCTTTGTTAAGAAATTTGGCAGGCTTACTGGAAGAGATCCAAATTTGTGTCCCGTCCAAAGAAAGGGGATCCAAAAGAATGAGGAAATCATCGAGCAATATCATTAATATTGCACACAAGTAAAATTTTGCTGAAAATAATTTAACAATGATTGCAGCAGTACATCAGTAGGGAACTGCTAGAAATTCAAACTCGTTTCAGAAGAGGACATGGAATGAGGGATATTATTGCTGATGTTAGATGGATCTTGACTGACAGTAGAGAATACAAGATGATTACCTGTGCTTATTAACTATGCAAAGGCATTCAACTGTGTGTATCACAACAAATTATGGCTAACATTGGGAAGAAGAGGAATTACAGAACACTTGTGCTCATGTGGAATCTGTTCATAGACTAAGAAGCAGTCAAGCAGAACAAGGGTTTAGTATGTGGTTTAAAATCAGGAGAGGTGTGTGTCAGGGTTGTATTTTCCACTGTACTTATTCGATCGGTATGCTGAGCAAATAATCTGAGAAATTGGATTATATGAAGAAGAACATGGCATCAGGATTGAAGGAAGTCTCACTAACAACTTTTGGTATTCAGATGATACAACCTTGCTTGCTGAAGGTTAAAGAGGATTTGAAGCACTTCCTGATTACACCTTAATATAAAGAAACCCCAAATCCTCACCACTGGACCAATAAGCAACATCATGATAAATCGAGAAAAGATTGAAGTTGTCAAGGCTTTCATTTCATTGTGAGCCACAATTGACATGCATAGAAGCAGCAGTTAAGAAGTCGAAAGCAAATCTGCTGTAAAAGACCTCTTTAAAGTATTAAGAAGCAAAAACATCACTCCGAGGACTAAGGAGACCCTGACCCATGGTATTTTCAATTGCCTCATATGCATGCAAAAACCGGACAGTGAATAAGGAAGACCAAAGAAGAATTGATGTCTTGGAACTATCGTGTTGGCAAAGAATATTAAATACACCACGGACTGTCAGAAGAAGGAACAGATCTGTCTTTGGAAGAAGTACAGCAAATGTTCCTTAAAAGTGAGGATAGCGAGACTTCATCTCATACACTTTGGACATGTTATCAGGAGGGACTAGTTCCCAGAGAGAAGGACATCATGTTTGTTAGAGGGTCAGCAAAAAAAAAAATTAAAAAAAGACCCTCAACAAGATGGACTGACACACAGCCAATGGCTGCAACAGTGGGCCCAAACAGAGCAACGACTGTGATGATGGTACAGAGAGGAACAGTGTTTTGTTCTGTTGTACATAGGGGTTGCTCTGAGTTGGAGGTGACTCAATGGTATCTAACAACAACGAATTGGAACTGTCTTGACAGCACCTGACAACAATAATATTTTGGATCCAATGTGAATAAAATGCAATAATGAGTTCCCCCTTTAAAATTCACTGAGCATTTCTAGTCAAAAATCCATTTGTTTAAAACCCAACTGTCTCAATTTTTGTTTTATTTTGGCCTTTAAGTTGTATTGCCTAGCTGAAATCACCTGTAAGAACCCAAATGGGACGTGGATTGAGCGAGGAGCCTCACCACTATAATTTGTTGCCAGATTAACTAGTTGGAATTGTTCTTTCTTGACTGATACCTTGGCTTTCTCAGATTCGTTTTGGGAATTGGGGCGGGTGGGGGGAGGTCTCTGGTGACTGAAATTCCATACATAAGGCAGAATTTCCCTAAAATGGGACAGGAGATCTTAGGAAGAGTCTAACTTCATGAGTTCCATCAGATACATGTTGGGGGTGACTGAGGGCTAGCATGTTTTTTCCCCAGATGATTAAGTTTCAGGAAGACAGGCAGCTCCAAAAGATGGGGGACAGAGAGGCCTGCTAAAGCCTTGGGCTTTGGGGCTCCCTGGTTGTGCAGAACCAGTTTCAACTGGGAGCAACCCTTTGGCTGAGCTGGTCTTCCTGCTGGTTTCCTTTCTTCTTGCAGTCAGCCTTGGACTGGTTCAACACTTCCCTCTATCAAGTGGTTAAAAAATGACCCAGGGGGAATGTTAGGGACTTTCAGCACTCTGTCCTTTGGTCTTTTGGAGCTTTTGTTGTAGGCTTGCTGGTGATTAATCTGGATGAAACCAGAGCTCTTTCCAGTCCTCTAAAGAGCACCGCCTGGGTTGGCAATTGACTTCCCATAGCGTTGGTTGCTTGTCCTCCCTGGGGCTCATGATTCTCCAGAGGCATGGGGACACTGGGCCATGGCAGTACCCGGGGTTAGTAAATGCTGACCCTATGGGGCAGGTGCTCAGTCAAGATGGGAGTGGTGATGCCAGAGAGGGCACCTCCTTGCCGTGGGTGCTGCTGACTTTCTAAGTCAGACAGATGCAGTTCCCTGATAACAGGTTGGACCCTGGAGTGTCTGCTCTGTCAGGTCAAGGTAGTTAGTGTGATCGCCCTTTACTGTTCCTTCTGGAATTAGACAGCTGGTGATACTCCGGGCTACAGCATTTTTGCGTTCCTAAAGCAGCTTGCAGACTCAGCTCACCCAGACTGAAGGCGGTCATTTAAAATTCCAGTCTTGCTCCCGAGGGCTTTGGTTTCCATCTTCACCCCTGCGGCGGCACCTTCCCACTCCGCGACAGGTTTCGCTTCTTAGCGGGAGTTTTAGGCTCAGAGGACACAGATCAGCACCACCCCAGGGTCCGGATGAGTTTCAACTGGACCCAGCCTGCGGGTGGCGACGATATGAAGCCGGCACGTGGACGGTGGGGCGGGGTGCGGTGGGGTAAAGGAGGAGCCAATTTGGGCGGATTTTTCCGGAGGAATCAGATCCACTGCCTCCAGAACGTCCCTCCTCAAGTGCTGTACACATTTTTCTTCCAATCAGAGCGTTTAAGGCCGAGCCGGTTGCGAGGCTGCTAGGGTCCAGGTGCTTGAGAGTGGTATGAGGAGCTTGTTGCACAGCGCCCTGGAGACCCGCCCCTCCCTTAGGGACCTGGGCCGGTGCCTCCTTTGGCGGGGGTGGAGGTGGCTGGCCCTGCCTGGGTGCATGGGCGGCGTCCCTGCCTCCCCCTGGGCCTGGGCTTGCCCAGGTCCCAGCTGCCCGCTGGGTCGGCCGTCGGGTCTTTGGGCTCACGGGCGCCTCGACGGCACCCCCTGTCGGATCACCCTGTCCCCACCATCCACTCGGGGCCTCAGGACTAGTCCTTGCAACTTGGTCTCTGCTGTTAACTAGTCCCGCAGCCGGAACGATGGGATGGGGTTGCCACAGCAACCAGACTGGACGTCACAATCCGGGCATGTGTGCTGCCCCCCCGCCGTGCCGCCGGCGCTGCCGCCGCCACCCTCGGCAAGCTGCGGGACTGGGCTGCGGGGCGCGGTGGGCGGAGCAGCCCGGGCTTTGCGGGGAGCACGGCTCAGGCGGCCGCAAGAAGGGGGGTCGGGACGGGGGGTGGAGGTTTGGGGGTGTGGGGGGCAGGCGTCCGCCATCTTCTCGCCGAGGCCGCCTCGCCCGCCGCGCGCGCCCGTCCGGCAGCGCACGGGTTAAGGCTGGCACGGCGCCCGGCGGGAGGGGGGGCGCCCACCTCCCCTCCCCCCCGCGCCGGGCATGCGGGGCCCGCTGGGCACCGAGGAGGAGCTGCCGCGGATGTTCGCCGCGGAGATGGAGAACGAGGACGAGATGTCAGGTGAGTGGCGCGGGCTGCGCCCGGGGCGCTGGGGTGGGGGGCGCAGGGCTGGGGCCGTGGTCTGACCGCGCCAGCGACGGGCCCGGGCTGTACCGCGCGGGAGGGGCCCGGGGTGCGAGCTGCGCTT